GCCCCTCCACATCTGAAGCACGTCTGGTGCTGGTGTTGTGGCAAATAGGTGTGAAACATTAATAAATATTGGTACAGTAATTAATATCTGGAAATAGTAAAACAGTTAAAAGAAGGAGGAGGGCGGCACGCTTTCTCCTGCAGATGTTCAGGGCGGGAAGAAGCAAGAAATAATGGTTACTAAAATTAACAGAAAGAACGGAAAATTTGGTTGGGTCCCAGGAAAACAGTAATTATGAGATTTATTGCTTTGATGCTAGAACATAATATTGGCTTGCGTGATATTAGCTTTGGCTGACATTACACCAGCTTGGCGCGCACGTGTAATCCAAAAGGCGAATCAAAGGACACCGAGGAAGAGGAGAGGCCTTCCTCAGCGACCCCCAAAGAGTGGGGGGCAACCTAAAAAGGGTGGAGCATGCGTGATGAAGGTGACGATGAGGGTGGAGATACAAGTGTGACAAATCAAAAATGGGAGGAGATGATGATGTACAGCATAAAAATGGGAATTTTGGGCTTGGCAAGTTTGTACGTGGGGTGACGGGGGTCCAAGGACCCTGCCCTCCGTACCCCACACGGTTATTTTTGCTCATGCGCTATTACCAGAACCAAAATTATCCCTTATTTTAACCAAATTATATTGTCAATATTTCAAGTGTGTTCAATTCCATATATATTTTAAGCTGCTTAGTTGAAATCGCTGCTGCATTTAATTTCGTTCGGGTTTCTTTTAAGGTGGGATAACTGGGCAGACACAAGAGTGGCTCAGCTCTGATTTACCGCCAGCACGGGAGAGCTGCGGCCACACACCAGCACTCGGCATCTCCTCTGTGGAGTGTAGCCATGGTATTTTATTAAAAATCCTTTCCTAGGACTTTTCCCCTCCCGAGGAGCTGGGAGCCTCAGGAAAGAAATGTAAACAATAATTATTTGCTGCTGTGGGATGCAACAGGTGCATCTTCCACTGGTCCATGTGGATTGTTTTTAATTGATGACCAATCACAGCCACTTGTGCCAGACTGTGAGCAGTCAGAAGATTTTGTTATTCTATTCCATTCTTGTTCTTTGTAGCCTTCTGATCCTTCTTTTCCCTCTGTTCTTTTAGTATAGTTTTAATGTAGTATTTTAGTATGATATATAACACAATAAATCAGCTTTCTGAGAAGTGGAGTCAAGCCTCGTGTCTGCACACATGGGGTGTTCACCTCGACAGCCGAGATGCCCCCGAGCTGTGTTAAAAGTCTCTTTTTCCCCAATCCAGCTGTCGAAGAAGGAGTCAGAAGTCTCCGCCTGTCCTTCTCAAGGTTGTTTATTATTTTTTTATCTGAAACATTTTCTGTCTGGCCTGCTGAGGTCTGTTCAGCAGGTCAGTCGGAGGCACACTGCCTGGTGTTATCTCTTGTAATATAAACTACGTATTTGATATTTACAGTTATGTCCCAATGCCTATCCCCTGTGTTAGACAGTGACTTTCTACTCCACGCCAATCCCAAAGTGCCACCATCTCCAAGCAGATGGAGGCTGGGAAGAAGAAGGGAGAAGGGCAGGACAACACCCAAATCCCTCCATCTTGTCCCTCGACCCCCATAGTGAAATTCTTCAAAATTCCACCTTTCACCCTGTGACAACCACTGCTGTGCTCCTGTGATTCTTCACACAAGGTTAATTTGCCCCACGGGTTGAGATCGAATTCCCAGGTGTCTCTGGCTTCCTGCCAGGGTCTCCGAGCCCCTGCCAGGATTTTGAGCCCTCCAGAGGGATGTGCTGGGTTCCAAGAACCGGGAATGTCAGCCCTTCTCCTTCCCTTCCCGGGCTTGGTGCAGCCTAGCCAGCGGAGCGCCGGCGCTGCCGCTGCACTCCGACCTGGCCCGGGGTTCTGGCTGCTGGGGAAACTCAGGCCAGGCTCCTCAAGAGCACCGCTTTGCTTCCTGCTGGAATCTGAAATGCAAGGAATTCTCAGGATTTTGGGTTTGTTAAAGTTTAGAACTTTCAGAATAAAGTTCAGAAATTTTTAGAATTTTTGGGTGAGTTAAAGTTTGGGATTACACACAGGATTTGATTTGAGATTTTGGAAAAGGTTTCTAAACTTAAGCGTTAGAAGTGAGAATGTGGATTTATAGTTTAAAGCAAACACACATTAAGCTAAATAAAGGAAAGTTTAGAGTTTTAAAATTCAAGATATAGAAAAAATAAAAGTAGTTATAAAAGTAATCAAGACATTTAAAATACAGTGCTGTAAGTTTGTGTGTTATACTATAATTAACTAAAAACCCACACACTGTAGCATGAATCTGTAAGATAAAATATTTAAAGATTGAGTTCTTGTTGACAGTGTTTCATTAGTTAATAAATCTTCAAAAGGTTTTGTAACTAGGAGTCTTGTGACCTTCTGAATTATACTATGAAGATGTGAGCTGAACTCGGCTTTCTTACTTACGTAAAAGATAAAAAAATAAACTGCATCATCAAAAACAATTCAAAAGTCTTGTCTCAATTAAAAATTCCTCACAGCTTCAGATCAGCAAATTCAGCTAAAACTTGGGAAACCCCAGCTTCTAGTTTGAGGTGGGGAGGACAGGAGACAGAAGCAGGGTGTGTGAAGGAATGAAGTCACTGCAGAAACAAACTGAGCGTGTGCCGGTGGAATTCCCCCACAGGGGCATTTCTGCAGACACAAATACGCCTCTATCAGGATAATTTATCCTTTAGAATGCATTTGGAGGGACATTTTAAGGAAGAGGAGTTGCCACCTGCCTAGAGACTTCCAGAGCATGCTTCTCAAACCTTAACTGGGTGTGAGAACGCAGTGCTGATGCTCCAGAGCTTAGAATGGATCCAGTTGTTAATGCCCTTCCGACAGGAGCCCTGAACTCTGTTTATTTGAGAAAACTTCACACGCAGGGGTGGAATGAGAAGAGCTGAGCCCAGCAGTGTTACGAATAAAAAGTTATCTATTTTTGTTTAAGGTTACACAGCTAAAACCGGTTGGACGGGTCTGTAGCTAGCCAGAGCGGACCCCAGCAGCCCAGGAAACTCGATTCTTCAGGGACCTTGTCATGAAGGCCTCAGTTTTCACTGGGCTCACAAAGTCCTGAGTTTTCACTGTTTCACTGGGATCTCTGTGGTCACCAAGTCCTCGTTTTTCACTGTTTAACTGGGATCTTGTCATGAAGCCCTCAGTTCTCACTGTTTCACTGGGATCTCATTATGAAGTCCTCGGTTCTCACTGTTTCATTGAGATCTCTGTGGTCACAAAGTCCTCATTTTTCACTTTTTCATTGGGATTTCTGTGGTCACAAAGTCACCATTTTTCACTTTTTCATTGGGATTTCTGTGGTCACAAATCCTGAGTTTTCACTTTTTAATCAGGATCTCAGGATCTCTAAAGTCCTTTGTTTTCACTTTTTCATTGGGATCATGTTATGCAGTCCTCGGTTCTCCCTGTTTCATTGGGATCTCATTAGGAAGTCCTTGGTTTTCACTGTTTCATTGGGATCTCATTAGGAAGTCCCTTGTTCTCACTGTTTCATTGGGATCTCTGTGGTCACAAACTCCTCGTGTTTCAGTTTTTCATTGGGATCTCATTAGGAAGTCCTTTCTCACTGTTTCATTGGGATGTCATTAGGAAGTCCTTGTTCTCCCTGTTTCATTGGGATCTCATTAGGAAGTCCCTTGTTCTCACTGTTTCATTGGGATGTCATTAGTAAGTCCTTGTTGTCCCTGGTTCATTGGGATCTCATTAGGAAGTCCCTTGTTCTCACTGTTTCATTGGGATGTCATTAGTAAGTCCTTGTTGTCCCTGGTTCATTGGGATCTCATTAGGAAGTCCCTTGTTCTCACTGTTTCATTGGGATGTCATTAGTAAGTCCTTGTTGTCCCTGGTTCATTGGGATCTCATTAGGAAGTCCCTTGTTCTCACTGTTTCATTGGGATGTCATTAGTAAGTCCTTGTTGTCCCTGGTTCATTGGGATCTCATTAGGAAGTCCCTTGTTCTCACTGTTTCATTGGGATGTCATTAGTAAGTCCTTGTTGTCCCTGGTTCATTGGGATCTCATTAGGAAGTCCCTTGTTCTCACTGTTTCATTGGGATGTCATTAGTAAGTCCTTGTTGTCCCTGGTTCATTGGGATCTCATTAGGAAGTCCCTTGTTCTCACTGTTTCATTGGGATGTCATTAGTAAGTCCTTGTTGTCCCTGGTTCATTGGGATCTCATTAGGAAGTCCCTTGTTCTCACTGTTTCATTGGGATGTCATTAGTAAGTCCTTGTTGTCCCTGGTTCATTGGGATCTCATTAGGAAGTCCCTTGTTCTCACTGTTTCATTGGGATGTCATTAGTAAGTCCTTGTTGTCCCTGGTTCATTGGGATCTCATTAGGAAGTCCCTTGTTCTCACTGTTTCATTGGGATGTCATTAGTAAGTCCTTGTTGTCCCTGGTTCATTGGGATCTCATTAGGAAGTCCCTTGTTCTCACTGTTTCATTGGGATGTCATTAGTAAGTCCTTGTTGTCCCTGGTTCATTGGGATCTCATTAGGAAGTCCCTTGTTCTCACTGTTTCATTGGGATGTCATTAGTAAGTCCTTGTTGTCCCTGGTTCATTGGGATCTCATTAGGAAGTCCCTTGTTCTCACTGTTTCATTGGGATGTCATTAGTAAGTCCTTGTTGTCCCTGGTTCATTGGGATCTCATTAGGAAGTCCCTTGTTCTCACTGTTTCATTGGGATGTCATTAGTAAGTCCTTGTTGTCCCTGGTTCATTGGGATCTCATTAGGAAGTCCCTTGTTCTCACTGTTTCATTGGGATGTCATTAGTAAGTCCTTGTTGTCCCTGGTTCATTGGGATCTCATTAGGAAGTCCCTTGTTCTCACTGTTTCATTGGGATGTCATTAGTAAGTCCTTGTTGTCCCTGGTTCATTGGGATCTCATTAGGAAGTCCCTTGTTCTCACTGTTTCATTGGGATGTCATTAGTAAGTCCTTGTTGTCCCTGGTTCATTGGGATCTCATTAGGAAGTCCTTGGTTTTCACTGTTTCATTGGGATCTCTGTGGTCACAAAGTCCTCGTGTTTCAGTTTTTCATTGGGATCTCGATGGTCATGAAGTCCTCGGCCAGCGTCACCTCCCGGTCCCCCATCACGGCCTCGGCCTCCCTCCTGAGCGCGCCGAGCTCCTCGTGGCCGCCGTGGGGCTCGCCGGGCCGGTACCGCTGGCTGAAGTGGGTCAGCACCAGCCTCCTGGCGCGGCAGCCGCGGGCGAACGCCGCGGCCGCGCCGGGCGTGCTGTGCCCGCGCTGGCGCGCCTTGTCCCGCTGGCTGTCCCCCAGCGTGGCCTCGTGCACCAGCAGGTCTGCGCCCCAGCAGAGCCGCGCGGCCCCCGGCCCCACGGGCCCCGCGCAGTCGCCCAGCACGCAGACCTTCCTGCCCGGAACCGGCGGCCCCAGCACGTCGCCGGGCTGTATCCGCGTCCCGTTCTCCAGCACGATGACTCCGCCGCTCTTCACCTTCCCGTACAAGGGACCTGGCGGGACCCCTGGCAGGAAAAGGCAGAACAGCCCGTAAGCGATGCGCCAGTCGTGTCATTGCAGCAGTGCCAGCTCTGAAAAATGTCACCTGGACATTTGTCACCTGTGCTGGACATAAAGCTGACTCACCGGAAAAAAGGACAATCTCTGTGTAAAAATCAGTTGGTGTTTCAGATTTTTTGTACAAATTAAGAGCTTGTAACCCGAGGAGGAAGTGTGTTTGAAGAAAATCATGGAATCCTAGAGTGGCTTGGGTTGGAAGGCATCTCAAAGTTCATCCTGCTATGGGCAGGGACACCTTCCACTGTCCCAGGGTGCTCCAACCTGGGCTTGGACACTTCCAGGGCTGGGGCAGCCACAGGGAAACTGCTCAGGGAAACTATATCAAAAACCCCCAATTATACTGCTCGTATTAAAGCCAAGAAAATCATGGAAATTCACTGGCCATATGTTCCTGAAAGCCACGCTGAGCTGTTTAGACTTTGGCACCTGAACTCGTCAGCTGTTCCCAGCATGAAAGGGGTCTGTGGTATTCCCTGGCACCGGTGATATTCCCTGTTACACACCAGTTCAGAGTGCAGCTCGGAGGTCAGGTGCCAAAATGTCTTCGACAGAAAATCGAAAATTGAGTTAAAACAGGCTACGGAGAGAGACAGCAGCTTGGATTTGCTAGAACACTTAGGAAGGTGGTCATAAAAGAAGTAAAAAGAGGAAAAATAAGTAAAAGTAGCTACCAAGCTCTTGCAGCATCCGCACATTGAGCTTCCCAGGCCGGGGCTTCTCTTCCAGCACGAAGCCGAAGGAGGGCACGCGGTGGAAGAGGCGGAAGGCTCTGACAACCAGCTGCTCATCCTCCAGCAGCAAGTAGGAGTCTTCTTCTGGATCCAGGTGCAGAACTCTCCCTGGAGGCGCCTGGGCAAGCGCCTCGTCTCGGTCCAAGCCAGAGAAGTCCCTAAATTCTTCCGGGGGGCACTGGTCCCGCGTGGGGACCAGCTCGGTGACGGTGTAGGGCAGCAGGGGCTGGGAGTGGGAGAGCTCCAGGCTCCTCCAGAGGAAGCTCCGCAGCCCCAGGGGCCCGTAAATATCAATGGGTGCCTTGCTGCCGTCAGGGCTCGTCTGGAGGCTGAGCGTGCACAGCAGCCCAGGAAGTCCAAAAATGTGGTCGCCGTGAAGGTGAGTGATGAAAATCTTGGTAATTCTGGCTGTTGAATAGAACAGGAAAAGACACAGCCGGGAAAAGACAGGAAAATAAACAATGTGACAGCTCAGAAACATCGCTGTTTGGCAAGATGTTTGAAACAAGCGAGGAGGGAGGGAAATTAAAACCAGTGCTTAACAGACAAATCCCAAACCACAAGGTTATTTCTTTCCCCACCCCCTCCACACAAGGAAGATTTTGGCCTGACAGGCCAAGAAAAGGCTGCAGAGATGCAAGGTTTATCTCCTTCTAAGCCAGGCATTCTACAGTGGTGACATCTGCCATGTGAAATGCAAGGAAGTGATGGGAAGCATTGGAGCTTCAGACTTACAGGAAAACTGTAGACTAACGAGGAACACAGTGAGCAATTTGTGTTGCTCCTCCTTTTGACTCTAGCCCATGAAATGATCAAAATCAAGAGGAACCAAAACCAAGCCAGCATGCAGTTTTGATTTCAGAGATTTTCAGAGGCAAGAACCCCACTGTTGCTGACTGGTTTGTTTAAAACAAGAGAAAAAAATCGCTCTGTAAATGTCTGTGCTTTCTTTGGTGCCTGGGCTGTCCTGCCCCAGCTGGGTCCTGCCCTCGCTGGGTCAGAAGAGCCCAGAACTCTCTTGCTGCAGACAATGTCCTTTAACCAGGCTGCCTCTGTCTCCTCTGCTGAACTCTCACAGAGCCAGGCATTTCCTCCAGCACCTGCTGGGGCTGTGCCACTGGAATGACAGAATCTCCTTTTCTTTTAAGGTAAATTCAGTAAACAATTTCATGGAAATGACTCCATCTACCTGTCCTTAAATTCCCTGATATGTTTTGGAGGAGCAGGGGCTTGTATTTCTGTTTGTAACTGACAATTCATCTCCATTCTTTGGGGGAGAGAAGTCAGCTCTGGCCACTGAGGACTGTGGAAGCACAGTGACTGTGACAGCGAGGTGAGCTTTATTCCTGATTTATTTGCCAAAAGGTGAAAGTTACCCCCAATACACACAGCCTCGCTTGAAAAGAGACATTTACCCACAGGAAGGCTCAGCGCAGGTTTGTCTAGAGCTGCCTCCAGGCAAACAACAAACAAACCGTTCCTGTTTTCAGCTGCTCTGCGGGCTGCGTTCGACACTGCCAAGCCCGGTGAATGAATTCGGATTGTCTGGGGAGGCAGCTCAGTGCCGAGGGCTGCGGAGCAGGCTGGGCAGCCTCCCGAGCCCGTCCCTCCCCTCAGGAGAACGGCACAAACCTGCTCGCAGGTGGCTCTTCATGAGCTGTGTCTGCGTCCCCTCGCCGCAATCGAAGAGCCAGCACTGCCCTTCCCTGCGCAGCACCAGCGCCGAGGCTCCGCGGCACGGCGACGGGAAAGCTGAGCCCGTGCCCAGGAAGGTGAGCTCCAGAGACATCCCGGGCAGCAGGCACCTGGAACACGACCGGGGGTGTGCTCTGTGGAAGGTGTCCCTGCCCATGACAGAGGGTGGAACAGGATGGGCTTTGAGATCCCTCTAACACAAAGCATTCCAGGGTTCTGGAATTCCAAAAGAAAGCACTCTTCCCAGATGGGCCAGCAGGGCCCTCCCAAGCACGCCAAGGTGCAGCCTGACCTTGGGGGCTCAGGGGGAGTAGCCATGGTTCATGTCCATCTCAGACCAAATGCAGAAATAAACACTTTGCAAATATTTGCGTTTTCCTTTTCCTCTGTGTAAAATCACGGGATCATACAAGAATTGAATGGTTTGGGTTGGAAGGAATCTTGAAAATACTTGTACTCCAACCTCCCTGCCATGGGCAGGGACACCTTCCACTGTCCCAGGCTGCTCCAAGCCCCATCCAGCCTGGCCTTGGGCACTGCCAGGGATCCAGGGGCAGCCACAGCTGCTCTGGGCACCCTGGGCCAGGGCCTGCCCACCCTGCCAGCCAGCAATTCCTGCCCAAGATCCCAAAATCTGTGCCTGCCCTGTGGCAGTGGCAGCCATTGCCTGTGTGCTGTCCCTGCAGGCCTTGTCCCCAGTCCCTGTGCAGCTCTCCTGGAGCCTCTGGAGGCCCTGGCAGGGGCTCCGAGCTCTCCCTTTCGGCACGGCCGCACCGCGCTCCCCTCAGCCTCCCCCAGCTCCACCCGCGCTTCCGGCCCGGGCTCGGGGCACGCGGGGCACGCCATGGCTCCGCAGGGACACGGGGATGGGCTGTGGGGACCCAGCCCCGCTCCCGACCCGCCCCAGCCCCCGGCCCGGCCCCGGTTCCGGCCCTGCTCCGGCCCGGGCCCGCTCCCGGCCTTACCTCCCCGGGCGGCGTCGGCGGGGCCGGCGGGGCGGGGCCGTGAGCAGAGCCCGCCCTGGCTGAGGGAGCGCGGGGAGCTGAGGGAGCGCGGGGAGCTCTGGCAGGGGGTGGACTGGATGGTCGTTTAGATTCCTTCCAACTCAAACCATCCTCTGATTCCATGATTCTAGGGAAAGACCTTAAATATCATCACATCCAACCATTTATAGAGCCCCTTGGCAAAGGGACTTTTCCCAGTCCTGAACAGATCAAGCATTTTTGGGGTTTTTTTTTTGTTTTTTCAGAATAAAAACCATCAGGTACGACTTAGGCAAAGGGAATGCATTTTACTAAGAAAATAGAAGACTAGAACACACATTTCAATAGAGTTACAACGTTATAAAGTAGGAAGAAACCCCAACCACTTCACATTTGACATACAGTTTTAGTTTCAGCTGAGCAATGACCCTCCCAGGCACAGCCAACCCCGCACAGATCAGGCTGGAACTGCTCTCACAAGCGCCCCAGCAGGCTCACATTGATTTGCATAAGGTAGATATGTTTAATATAGAAACAAACACAGGTTATTTTGCTGTTGTGTTGACAAGGCAGCCACCTTAAGTCCTAAGAGTATTTTTATTCCATTAGAAAGGGTCTGGCTGACGAACGGACGAGCCGAAGCCGACGGCACGTGGAGAGCTGAGCTCAGCCTGGCTGAGCCCCTCGTGTCTGGGGAGCACGACCGGGCAGCTCGGGCTGCTGCAGCACCAGCAGGGCACGGGGACAGAACCTGCCCGCCCAGCTGCAGCCGCCGTGCCCGGGTGAGCCCTGCCATCCCCACGGAGAACGGGAGGCGCGGGGAAGCCGTGCTGCATCGTCCCGGGCGCTCGCCCGGAGTCCCACGGGAGCGCACGGGGCAGGCAGGTCCACACGGAGTCAGTCAGATGTGCCTTCAGCAGCAGCAGCTGAACGGCTTTGCCCAAATTCAGCTGCCAAGCCAGTGCAGCAGAGCTTGGCTCTGGATTTGCTCCTCCCGTGTAACAGCAGTCCCTGCCCGCCAGCCGTGGCTGCAACGGAGCGGGGCAGCGCTCGGATCGTCCCGCGAGCAGAAATGACAGTGGTTTATCCAGCTGGAAGCACTGGCAGGGAGACAGCCCCGGCTGTTCTCACACTGATCTGAGCCACAGACAGCTCTGCGGGGCCACAGAGGAGCTCAGCTCTGCGGGACCAGAGAGGAGCTCAGCTCTGCGGGGCCACAGAGGAGCTCAGCTCTGCGGGGCCACAGAGGAGCTCAGCTCTGCGGGGCTGGCAGAGGAGCTCAGCTCTGCCCCTCTGCAGCCAGCCCCAGCAAACAAAACCAGCCGGGACTGCCGGCGCCGGAGTCAGCTGAACTGAAACCTGGGTGGGAGCTGTACAATAGTGATCCCCACTCTCCCACAGGAACAGTCACCACGGAGGGCTGCTAAAGATTGAAACTAAAAGGTGTATCGTTCATCTTGGCAGGTACTACCAGAGGAGTGTGACAGAGTTACTTTATCCCCGTAAAACAGCGTGCTGGAAACAACAGTACAAGAGGAAGACACGCACCGACCACAGGAAACCTGTTACACACCACTCTGCAGGTAAAGTGTCACTTGGTTTGAAGCTTGGAAAAGGAACACAACAGATCAGGATGCATCACTGTCCACAAATGTAACCGAGAACTTGTGCCACGTGTCACACCGGGGGTTTAAAATGTATCAGACACAACATTTTAATTGTCTCCTTCTACAGGTCAGGTTGGCAGAGGCTTCAGGAACACACAAACCTTTGCAACACCTTTAACAAAACCACAGGTATTTTTAAAAGAAAGGCTGTGTTTCATTAGATACCTTTACTCTCCCCAAACACTCCTACAGGCTGCTGCCAAGAGGCTCAGTCCTGCTCCTGCTGATTTTAAGAAAGCAAGGATTGGACAAATCCTGGAAAAGGCTGACCTCAGTGAAATTCCTGATCCTCCCAGAAGGGTTCTGCACACCCCAAGGAGACATGGAAGACAGTCTTTTATAAAAGCATTTGGAGGGCAAGTCACGGGGGCTGTGTGACAAACTACAACACTGGTGGTCCTTTAGGTGATGTATTCTTTTGACTTACATTATGTAACATGACAAAATGCATCCTGGTGACACCTGTTTCCCTTTGCATACTGTCTAAGAGAATTTTCTGTACAGATAAAGACCAGTAAATATTTTGAATAAACCAGCAAACAGAAAAAATCATGTTAAGTAGAATATGAAAAAGGAAAGTGGTTCCTTAGTAGCCAGCAAGATTAGCAGTTGTAATTAGTTCAAGGATTAATTGTACCTGAAGGAAAACTGAACATGAATCTATCTAAAAATCCTATGTATGAAAAAAAAATAATTCTGGAGAAGATGAAAGAGAGAGTGAAGTGGACTTAGAACTGTGTGAGCTGACGGGTTGCCTGTTGCCAACAGGAAACAATGGCTGCACATGGAAGGGATGTGCACACCCCTGTCCACACTGCAAGCTGCAGAGGATCCACAGAGCCAGGCCGACAGAGCCCGGGAGGCCGTGCCTGGCTCAGCTCCGGCTGGCAGGGGACAGAGCCAGCCACACCTCCAGCACAGCCCGGGCTGCTCCTCTCCTAGGGACTGCTTTTCCCTCACCTCCGCAGCGGGATTTCCAGAAGAATGGCTGTGCAGGAGCGTCAATCCCGCTGCCAGGAGGGGGAAAACGCAGCGGCTGGAGAGCAGGGAGGCAGCGCCAGAAGGGGCCAGGGCTGCTCAGAGCAGTTCCCTGCACAGGAACGGCATCGCTCCCGCCCGGAGCACGGCCCAGCCGCCTCCCCCGAGGGCTGCGGACACCAGCTGAGATCCTTGGAAACAACACAATCAGACTGAAGGGGCGGGCACGGATCCTTGCCTCCTAAGGCAGAGGCAGGCAGCGGCTGCCCTGCCTCTGTGGTCACTGTGGGACGTGAGATCAGCGCGTTTTGGGTGGTTTTGTTACTCATCTAACTGGCTGCTGGCAGAAGGGAGGAAGCGTGTGTTCCCAGCACTCCGGAATCCAGTGATGCAGAACTCCACTGGCACAATACAACAGGCTTCAGGTAGAGCTGGGTTTTCAGAAGGCAAAAGTAATTCATACATTGAATAAATAATTTCTCTTTCATTAAGATCACTAATTTAAATACGGTACAAACAAGGCATAGCAAAAATAGATGAAAAAAGCACTCTTTGTAAAAACACCCTGTGTGTGTGTTGGTGTCTTTTGTACATTCACTTGCAAGTGCAAGCTCGTGCCCCTGTGCATGTCAGCACTCAGCAGTGAAGCACTTCGAGCCCCACCACACAACACTTTACCACAGCTTGAACACCACAGTTTTTTTCCCCACATCACTCTTTTCTGTGTTTATATAATCAGTCTTCTTTCCCCACACAGGCAGCACCTTCCCAAAGCTTACTGTTCTTTGTGTGGATACAATTTTAGAGCCAGAGATTAGGCTGTGGGCGCCTGAGGGGGCATTGAGACCATTTTCCCTGCTCTGTTCTGGCCTGTTCTGTGGAGACTGCATTTTCCTCTGTAATTGAGGGTAGGAGAGCAGTGCTTGCCATGGGTAAATCCTGAGCAAGCTCTGCTTTATCTCTTTGGATGATGTCTGCCAGTACAGCACTGCTGGCACATCCGTCTGTTTATTTACTCCCGCCCTTTTCCTGCCTTGCTGCAGCAAACTGGAGCAGCCTGGTGTCTTTATTTCTGTTCCTGGCAGGTGGCTGTTCTGGCTGCAGGCAGCACAGACGGGGCAGCCACAGGCTGTGGCCACCTCTGGGTGTCCCTGCCTGTCCCCCTCTGGCCTGGCTCCAAGGCAGCTGGGGGAGTGTACACTGTGGCATCTGCAGCAAACGTGCAGCACTACCCCTGGCAAGGAAAAGCTCACTGGGAGCTTCTGCTTTCACACCAGGACCTGACAAAGCAGGCCTGTAAGTGCAGCAAGTATGGGGCTTGCAGCACTGCATGCTGTGGGTCCAGCACCCACGCTGACCAGAGCACAGGACTGAGACCTCAGGAAGCATTCAGCCAGACTCCTGTGGATAGCTGCCTGACAACATCCCTGCTCCAGCCCCAGCAGCTGCCCACGGCGTGCTGGTTCCAAGTGAGCCCACTTCGCAGCTCTCGAGTCAGCAGTGTCATAAAACATCACACACCAGTCTTTTTGTCAGAGCAAGGGAGAAAACAACCTGGCTTAGACAAGACAGAATCTTGAAAAAATTAAAAAAAATTAGGTAAAGATCCTTTGGTACATCATTTCGCTGTCCATTGCTTAAAATCTCCTAGTAAAACCTCTAAAAAGATTTCCATAAATTACTTCAGGTCCTACCTCTACCCAATAAAATTTATTCTGTGACACTATGGCTTTGTTTTTAAAAGCTATTAAGTGATTAGTATTACTTTCAGGCTTCCCAAGGACAATTTGAACTAGCCCACATTTTTCCTGAGAACAGATTTCACGGAGTGATGAACACAAAGCTGCAAACTTTGCTGCAGACCCCACAGGTGTACATCTTGCTGCTCCTTAAGGAAACAGCAGCCAACGCCACCAGGATGTCTGGACATGGGCATCTTTAAACATTAAACAAAACAGAAGGCCCATCACACTCTCCAAGTTGTCTTTAACTGCCCTTTTGTTTTTTCTACAACAAGTGGTCTCCCCTTGATGTCACAGCTAATGCAGTGTGACAACACTAGGACAATTAGAAGACTGATTATTAAAGGCAGAAATAAATCATTCTGGAGATCAGCAGTGATGAGAGAGCTAGAGTTCATCGTGAAACAGATGTAGCTAAAATATCATTAATGGAATTCTTCGGTGTGGTGCTGGCTCTAAGCTAGAAACGCAACGTTATTGTTTGAATTAATTTTGGAGGGCTCTCTCATCCCTGTGGCAGATGCCGTCATCCATACAGTTTATCAGGTACTTGGGAGAAATCAGGTGAAAAACCGGGGAGAAAAAACAAAAACCAGGCAACGAAAGGAGCGCAAATAAATTAGAGGAGTGACAGATCATGATTACAGTTGGTCTGAGGAGGGGATCCCTGCAGAGTAGAGGCGCTGCCTGAGGAGCGGGCGCGGGGCTGTCAGTGCACCTTGGACTCGGGCCAGTCGTACACGTCCGGCATGAAGGACTCGTACTCGTAGGTCCAGACCTTGGAGCGGATGTAGCGGCTCTTGTCGGCCGGCTCGGGGTAGTGGAAGGCCATGTTGTTGGCGTACAGGAACTCCATCACCTGCGGGGACAGCGCCGCTCTGAGCCCGGGGCACGCGCGCCCAGCGTGCCGCGGGGAAAGGCGCCGGCTGCGGGCCGGGGAGCGCGGCATCCTTCGGGACACAAAAGCTGGCTGGGAAGCAGGAAGGAGCAGAAAAGCTGCTGACAGACAAGGGGGAGTCCAGCCGAGTAAATGGCGTTTGCAGCTTCGACCAATTGATTGGTAAAAAGATGCCTGCGAGCCTCGTGGGCAAAGCAGAGCTACCAGTCGAGGGATGCATGGGCAATGCAGAGTTACCAACCAAACAATGCATGGGCAATGCAGAGCTGCCAACCAACAATGCATGGGCAATGGAGAGCTGCCAAACAATGCATGGGCA